CTGCTCGGCAGTGACGTTTACTTGTGTTACAAAAAGTCGATGAACCGGGCCAATTTGATCTCGTTCGAGCCGGAAATTTTGTACAAGTACCCCACGACTGACTACGATAGTTTTGGTTTTCAAAAGGACGTGGCCTTGTTTTGCTTGCCGATGAAAGCGACGATCGAGTGCTGGCCGAAAATCGCGAGCAAGCCCAGGCCCGTTTTCTCGACGTTCGTTTTGACCGTGGCCAATGCGGCACAGAAAATTTATGGATCTGCGATTACTTTTTACGAGGAGGTGTTGCCTCCAGATAGTATTATAGAAAACGAAAAAGACGACCTTGATGTCCCGGAGAACGACACAACTGGTGAGTAAATAGATTTTAGTATTTTGAGCGATTTGGAGGATCATTGATTAGAAGGAGATCCATTTTCAATTCTCTAGTGCTTTAACGGATACATTTAATATTTTCAAAATATGATGTGATCTCAGCTTCTAAATCAATGTGTTTGTTTTTTCATTCGGGAAATTATAATATTAACCTGAAACGAACAAAAACTCGCAACTTCGACCAATCAAAAACGTGAAAAAGTTTTGAGAATCGAAAATATTTTTACAAATTAAGATTTTCCAATGTGTTACAAGTACTTGTACATCAAGTTTCAGCTTTTTTGATACTACAGTCAACTTATAAAAGCGACTTTCATACACTTAGCATGAGGCAGCACACTGACTTTTTATATTTATCTTAATATTTTTTTATCAAGCACATAAACCTATACTTTTTTGGAGGTCAATTTGTTCAGAATTGCATAAGCTTTCTTACTTCAATTTTTTTTTTTTTTTTTTTTTGTATAGTTGCTCGTGATAAAAGTATTCATTACTCTTTTTATATACGTTACGTTATAGATTAAGTTATCTCCATGGGAAGCTTTGTTCAAAATACGATTTTCGAACGACTTTTTCTCACTAGTTATAAATGCTAATATTTACCGATACTATACAAAACTCTTTAAAATTTTATATTTTTCATAAGAGTTTTTATTATATGTAAAACTCCTTTAAAGTCTACAGTCTAAATCACAAGCGACTAAATCCATGCAAATGTAAAGAATTTTATCAACAGTCGATAGTTCTTGATATTATCTTGAAATAAAAGATAAAACCAGAAAAGCATCTTTTTTTTCATATTACAATATGTGAACGATATTAGACACGACCGCTACATTATACTTTATAATTTTATTGATAGAAACAAATGATCGATTAAAAAATGATAAGTTTTAAGTACATAAAATTTTATTATTTACAATCAATTTAGTTTTTACTTTCACAAATTTCTTTATATTAGTACAATAAATTTCTAGTTTTTAACTTTTCATAGCCACAAAAAATAATTTTATGTATTTTCTTGTATTCTTCAATAAATTTTCGAATTTTTGTAGTTTATCTAAATCGATACTATCTTTTTATTCTCAGTAATTTTCAAGCCAATTATTTTTTCACAATATCAAACGATATCTAGACCAACCCAGTCAGTTATAAATTACGTACCTTGACTCCAAAAACAATTTTTCGAATTACTCGATGCAATTTTATTTTTTTCTTTACGAGGAACTTTTTTGCACGTGGAGGCGTGAAAAATGATTTTTAAGACCAAGACTAAAACGAGGAACAATTATAAAAAAGACCAAAATTATTATACTTCGTGCACCAACATTTTTGTTTCAGAATTATCTGAGATTAACTATCTCAGTAATTATATAATAGTATATTGTATTAGTAATGTATATAAGTATATTGTTGACTTTGAGAAAATTGTCAAGTGTTGCTTCCCCTAAAAAGTCAGAAAAAAAACAAAAAAAAATTCTAACTGTAAACAGATAAAAGAACTACAAACGATGAAATTGGGACACTGTTAGCTACTATTTTTTTTTCACCGTCACTTTTAATTATTTTTGGTAGTCCATAATAGGATACTTTTCCTAACGCACAACAGTGTTTCCCATATTTTTTATGTGAAAATCGCATAAAATTTTTATTGTCAGTGAAAGTATCACTTCTTACAACCGAAACGAATTGCTTTGTTTACGTCGTATGGAATGATTTATAAATTCACAGTAACAAATTTTAGAGACAAAAATTCTTTGATATTCAAACTGGAAAACACCCCAAATGGTAATCGTAAGGCAAGAAACTACAACAGAGTGCTAATATTACACGAGTACATATTATAATGTGTACACAAATAACCCACAGAAATGTTAAAGCGATTTATAATTGATCATCTGTATATTATTGATTGCAATGTAAAATTGATAATGTTTCTTCTAGAACAAACAACGGAGCCGTCCAAAACAAGTAACTCCAAGCCAAATGCGAAGACTGAGCCATTCAAAAAGTTTGGCATATTGAAAAAGCTGAACCAAGCGCAGCTCGACAAGCTGCAATACA